AAAAAAAAAAAAAAAAAACAGAAACACTGGCAGCCATCACAGTGTGATTAGTTGTTTATTTCATTAAATGTTTAACGAGGCTACATTGTTTCCCAAACCAGTCTCGTTTGTGAGGGAAACAGCTGCAGAGAAGAAAGCTGAGTGACTCCTGCATCTGGGGTGGGGAAGGGAGTAAGGTCCCCTCCCTTCAGCCTACAGAGGCCTTTGAGGATCAGGAACAGTCCCATTCCCTCCTCCCACCCACTGAGCTGCTCAGCCCAGAGCCCTCCTCCCCAGAAAAAAAACATCTGGCAATCCAGACCTGCAGAAAGGGACCAAAAATCCATTCCTGGTAGTATTAAAAAGGTATTAAACTTTGGGGGTTCCTCCAGCTGATTGATCTTTCTAATTATGTTTGCATTCCCTGAGCTCACATGGCAGGAGATGGAGGTTAGAGGAAAGAGGGGGCACAAACACTCCACATTCTACACTTTGGTGATTGCAGGCTTGAACCTGCTATGCACTGAGAAGTCCAAAGTGGAAAAGAGAAGCCACTCAGCTAAAAATCACAAGTCGATTTTTATGGCAGGTCCTTGTGGGGAAAGGGTCAGTCCTCAAAGACAGATGGAGATCCACCTAGCTGGGCCTGGAGCCCCTGCCCTCTCCTGTACCCTTAGCTGAGGACTCAGGGTCCTTGAGTCAGTCCCTAACCAGGTCTCAGTTTGAGGGGCACTTAGATAATTTCAAATGCCATTGAAGTTATCCTAGAATCTTTGAGACGGGCTGAGATGAACTAGTCCCATAGGAGAGGTTGGGAGAGGCTCATCATAGGATCTGATGAGCCAGGGAGTGGTGGGTGGGAATTTCTTGTCTCTCAATACTGGAACCTGGCATAAGGGAAAAGAGAAGCTATTTTTTATTTTTCATTTTTTTTATTTTTATTTTTAGAGACAGGGTCTCACTCTGACACTCAGGCTGGAAGACAATGGCATGATCATAGCTCACTGCAGTCTCGAACTCCTGGCCTCAAGCAATCCTCCCAGCTTGGCCTCCCAAAGGAGGAATCTTGGCTGGGATTATAGGTGTGAGTCACTGCTGACAAGCTATTTTAAATGACACATCTCAGAGCCAAATCTCCCAGCCCCAAATACCTCATCCAGATAACCATCTATCCAAAAAACAACTCTGATCACTTCACTCTCTGCCTGAAATTCCTGGTGGCTTCATCCTCTGAGGATGATTTCATTCATCCTCAGAATGAAATCCTGGTTCCTCTGTGGACCCTGCAGTAGCTTCAGGGTACCTTCCTAGCCTTGTCTTCTATTCTTCCTGCCATGGGAGCCCCAACAGTGCTATGCTCGTTCTCATCTCCACGTGTTTACACATGCTGTACCCTCTGCCCAGAGTGCCTTTCCTACCCCTTCCCTGCCTGGCAAACTCCTCTTCAACCCTCAGGACCTGGCTAACAGGACTGGCTTCTCAGGCTGCAAGGAGCTCCCATAGCACCCTGTACATGTACAAATATCCCTCAGTCATGGCACCCTCACACCTGGGGTACTTCTCTTCCACATTGGGTTGGCCTCCAGAAGCTTAGAGACTGATCCTTGCAATCTCCCAAGCCAGTGTATGGCACACAGTTGGTGTTCAATACATACTTGCTGAATGAATGAAGAGGGAGGAATGGGCTATAAATTTGGGTGGGATCCCAGCAGACAGTTGGGTAAGGTCAGTGTTCTCTTCCAGTGTGTTTAGGAGAACTGGCTAAGGCTGGGGCTGGGGGAGGGAAGGGCCAGGGATGGTTCCTGGGGGAGAATGTCACCGAAAAGAGGCCAGTGGGACCAGAGCCAGGGAGGGAATACAGGACAATCTGAAACCAGACTCCCGAGAAAACAGACCAGCACTGTCTTTCCTGACAACAGGCGCTCGGCCGTCCTTTCCACCATCTTTCCTTGAAGGGACAGAGTAGGGGTAACTCTAACAGCTGATGCTTCCCTGAAAGTCATCAAGGAACTCAGCATGGAAGGAGAGAAAGGTCCCTGGCCTGAGCCTCTAAGACCCCAGAATCAAACTACTGACCCCTTAGGAAACTTCACGCTGTATAGGGGTAGCTTCTGTGATGTGGAGGTTTTTGATGCCTCCTCACCCCCACAACCCCCAGGGCACCAGCAGACTCCAAGCCAGGGGTACAGATGGTGAGCAGGACCCCTCCCACACTAGCAGCAGGCTTGGCTGGGCTGAGAAATGCTGACTAATTGCATGTCAGTCTGCTCTAAAATCCCCTAATGGCCTGAGAATTGCCCACTTTATTAACTGGGATGAACAGTCCCAGGATGTCTCCTTCTCCCAACTCTGACTCCTAAAAGGACACTTCTGATCCAACCTATGGCTTTGTCCTCTGTTCTATCTGCGGACATGGAAAGTTCCCCGGCTGAGGTCTAACTTTCCCTCTTACTGCTAGAGACTGGTAGATTGATTTTTTTTAAAAGCAACAAAACTAAAGCCACAGCCGTTTTCCATGGACTTGGGCTTTATTGGGTGACTGTAGAGGCAAGGGAGGTTCTAGGGCTGGTGGACTGATGGTGGGGGAAGGGCTTCTCCTTGCTTTTGAATTTAGTGCATGTTGCCTAGAGGTTAGGTGTGTGAGAATAGCTGCAGAAGTGAGAGGAAAGGAAAAGAGAAGGTCGTAGAATGGATATTTTCCTTGGGCCAGAACCAGGATATGGGGACTGGGGGTGGAGAGGGAGGGTACTCTTCACATAGGAGACTCCACCAAGGTCACTATTTGATATCAGCTTCCCTAACCCCCACCTGCCCCATCTCAGTTCATGCCCCAGATGCCAGCCCTGTTAGCTCCCTCAATATCCACTGGAGAAGAGGAGGGAGGAGGAGATGAGAAATGATGATATCCTTCTGCCCTCCAGCTCCCCTGCCCAGAAGAATTGCTTGCTCTGCCTGCCCTGACTTCCCAGCCAGGCTCAGGAGGTCAGAAAGCCTGGGCGCAGGCAGGGGAACAATTGTGTCCCTCACCACCCCTCTTCACACTCTGCCCTCTCCTAGCCCCTCACATGAGGTTGCAGCTCTTGGCTCGATCCTTGTGTATCTCGCCCTCATTCCCCTGGTCTGGCCGTCCTGACAGCTGAGTGGATCGCTGCATTCCCCGGCGTGAGTCAGTTCGGCGCAGCTGCCTATGGCCACGGCCAAGGGAGGCCACTGTGGCCACATGGAAGACATCCCTGACGCTGCGCTCAGAGGACCTGGAGGAGCACTCAACGTAGGACACAGCCCCCACCTGCTTGGCCAGCACAGTGCCCTGGAAAAGGAAGGAGTGCATGGAAGAAAGTTATAGGTCTTAGCCTGCAGCTTAGAAAGGGGCACGGAGGCTATGGGCTGGGGTTGAATGTCAGGGCTGGGGACAGTCAAGGGATCAGGTCAGAGGTCACAGGCCAGAACAAAGGATGAGCCAGGTAAGGTGTTTTCAAATCAGAGACTGAAGGTGCAGAGGTGACAGGTCTAGGCTGGGATGAGGTCAGAGGTCAAGGGTCCCACCTGCTCATGTGTAACAGGGATAAGCCTCTGCTTGGACAGCTCCCTCAGTGTGGCCAGGTCAGTCCGCATGTCCAGTTTACAGCCAACCAGCACAACCTTGGCATTGGGGCAAAACTCTTGAGTCTCTCCTTGCCACTATGTAGGAGAAGAAAAGAGAATTGTGGAGCGGTGGAGGGAAGCACAGGGTGAGCCTTTGCGCCATGCCAGCAGTGGGCCCTCTCTTCCTCACAGCATGCAGAAACCACGTATCCCTCGGAACTCTCCCACACAAGGAAGAGGTGAGAATGCTAGGCTTGGGTTGAGAGCAGGATGGGGTGAGAGAGAAGTAGGGGGGACGAGAGGGCTGGCATGGGCCTGCGGACTCTTCTCCCTCAGTGGCTATGAAGGGTCTGCCAGCCTGGAACCTTCCCATTCCCACTCGCCTTTCCCATGCTGTCTCCTGGGAACAAATTTATCCCACCCTCCCCTCCCCCACCTGGGAACTGGGGCTGCCCTAGCTGACTTCTGTCCATTCACCACTGGCTTTTCTCATGGAAATTGCGGCCTGGAGAGGAGGCCACAGGGCTTTCCTGAGTTCCAGGATCAGCCTTCACATCCCATCCCCTCCATTTGGGGCTCCCACTGCCAAGGACTTGGAAGAGCAGAGAAAGAATCCCGTGAGTGCTTCTCCCTTCACTCCCCCACCTCCCCTAGCTGCTGTATCCAGCTCTGAGGACTTTCAGGAAGCGGGTGGCTGGGAGGGATGGGGGCTGGAGGCAGGGGTGGCAGGGATGAGAGCTTCACTCGCTAACCAGCTGACGGCCGTACCCCAGCTATCACTCCCTCCTCCTGGCCCATTTTATGTCAGGACCATGGTGGCTGGTCTGTCTCAGTCTAGCTGCCCTATTTCCCCAGGCTCCCACCTTCTTGAGAACACTGTCCAGTGTTTCTGGTCGGCTAATGTCGAAGCAGATGAGCACAGCATCAGAATCAGGATAGGCCAGAGGCCGGACATTATCATAGTAAGAGGAACCTGAAGGAAGAGAGAGCATGAGGGGCCTGAGTGGATGGGAGGCCTGGAAGGGAATGGGAGACCTTACAGATCCTGGTCAAGGGATGCTGGGAGCAGAGAATGGAAAAGAGCAACCACTAATACCCATCATTAATACCCATCATGGAGTCTGGGTTTCCCAAGTGGGGCAGTGGGCAGAAGGGGAGTCAAATGGTGGGAAACGGCTCTCTGCTTCCCTAGGGGTTTAAAAAGTAATAATTTTTATTCTTGACTAAGGTTTGGACCCCTTTGAGAAGCTCATGAAATCTATAGTCATTCTCATAAAATGTTGCGTGTGCTTTCTGAGCTTTGGCAGTCTAAAGCCCCGAAGGGAACTCTTGTAAAAATAAAAACCCGGCCGGGTGCGATGGCTCAAGCCTGTAATCCCAGCACTTTGGGAGGCCGAGACGGGCGGATCACGAGGTCGGGAGATCGAGACCATCCTGGCTAATACGGTGAAAGCCCGTCTCTACTAAAAAATACAAAACACTAGCCAGGCGTGGTGGCGGGCACCTGTAGTCCCAGCTACTCGGGAGGCTGAGGCAGGAGAATGGCGTAAACCCAGGAAGCGGAGCTTGCAGTGAGTTGAGATCCGACCACTGCACTCCAGCCTGGGCGACAGAGCAAGACTCCGTCTCAAAAATAAAATAAAATAAAAATAAATAAAAATAAATAAAAACCCTCCTTATGTTGGGAGGAGGAAAACAGCAGTGGCAGGAAAGCACTCTCCCATTCTCCTGGGACTTGACCTCAGATTTCTCTAGTTCAATGGAGAGAAACAGCCCCCTGACCACTCCTCACTCAAGACATTCTAAATGTCTTTTCTTTTTTTATTTTTTGAGACGGAGTCTTGCTCTTTCGCTCCGGCTGGAATGCAGTGGCATGACCTCGGCTCACTGCAGCCTCCCTCTCCCAGGTTCCAGCGATTCTCTTGCCTCAGCCTCCCCGCAGCTGAGATTACAGGCAGGTGCCACATGCCCAACTAATGTTTGCATTTTTAGTAGAGACGAGGTTTCAACCATGTTGACCAGGCTGGTCTCAAACTCCTGACCTCAGGTGATCTGCCCACCCAAGCCTCCCAAAGTACTAGGATTATAGGTGTGAGCCACCGCACCCAGCCTCTGAATGTCTTTTCTAAACTCAGTCTTATCTCCGAAGAAACATGTTCCAAATTAAAAGCCATTCCTTCCCAACTTTCCCAGGTAGGCAGAACCCAGCTGAAGGGCTCAGATCCTAGGCTTTCTCCTTTAGGACATGGTTTCTGTCAGGATCAGCAAGTTCTGCCTCAGTTTCCCTAGCTTTAAGCAGAAAATTGATTTTTCCTTCCTGTTGGAATTGGATGGATGGGCTGGGCTGACCTGGAACCTAAGGGTCTAGCCAAGGGAGGGGACAGAGTGGGCCGCCTTGGAAGTCAGGGTGACCCCCAGGGACTTGGCTACCTGAAGTGTCCCACATGTTGAGCTCAATGCGGCGCTTGTCGATCTCAAAGCTCGCGGTGTAGTTCTCAAACACGGTGGGGACATAACTCTGCAGACACGGATGGATCCAGATGAGATCCTCTCTCCAAGTCCTCACCCCAGATAAATGCCCTCCTCACTCCCACACCCCGTCCAGCCCAGCCCCTGGACACAAGTTGGTTTGGGATTGGGCAAAGGGGAGATCCCGGGAGCTCCTGCCCCCTGCAGAATCTCTGCTAGGCTCCCAGACCTCCTCCTGGTCCCTTCAGCCCCCTAGTTCTTCCCTTCTCCATTGCCCAGGACCTCCGACATTCCCCTCGCCCTCCCTCCCGGATGCTCTGGTTCTTCCAAACCCCATCCATCTCACCCTGCTCCCTAATTCCTCCCACCCCAATCCTCTGCAGTCCTTCCCGAGCCCTCAAGGCCTCCCCCCGTCCTCCGAGCCCCTGTATCTTGTCCCTGGTTACCCGAGTACCCGTTCCTATCCGTCCCCAGGGCCCCTGTCACCCATCCCGCAGCAGCCTTAGCGCCCCCTCCCAAGACGCAGGTCCCTCACCCCGGGATAGGCGTCCTTGGCGAACACCTGCAGCAGCGCCGTCTTGCCGCACTCTGCGTCTCCCACCACCACGATCTTGCAGCGGCCGCTCTGCCCCTCCATGGTCCCGGCTACGCGCCGGTCCCCCACGCCACCCCC